GTTCCCAGTAATGCAACAGCCAGCATATTGAAAATTTCTCAAGTACAGTGCTTCACTGCAGCGTAAGTGGATGAATGATGAACAAAAAAGAATATATTTTCATTGTGATGAAAAATTTCATCGGCACTTTCAATGTTGGATGTTGGATGAACAGAAAAAAAATACTTTCATTATGATGAAAAATTTCATCGGGGCTATGCATGCAAAGCTAAACCTTTTGTAGATAAAGAGGTTGGCGTGTTGATGACTGAGATACGAGGAAATAAGTTTTAATGAATTGGCAAGCCATCACATGCCAAGAGCATTACTATTGCAAGGGATTATCAAGGGTTCACCGAGCAAAATTTGGATTGATAGTGGATCAACACAATATATCATCCAAACTAGATTTATCCAACAATTGGTTACACCAATGGTTCCAACAATTTTTTTGCTAATTGGTGGTAATTTAGGCTGAAACATTGGAATATTTAGGCCCAACAATTTTTTTGCTAATTCGTGGTAATTTAGGCTGAAACATTGGAATATTTAGGCTTATAACCACCTTATAACCACAAGTTTCGATATGCATACAAAATCACCTGTTCTATATTGATTGCTACCTCATTGAAGTGCGAGAACAAGATGTGGTATTAGGCATTCAATGGCTGGAGTTCCTCAGTCCAAGCATCAAATATTACAAATAATTAACTATTGAGTTTTGATGGGAACGCAAAAAGGTAAGGCTATCTATTGAACAAAACTCAACATTACACTATAATATTGCAATAATTTCAACAGCAACTAAAAACGTATAGGTTGGCTTCTTGTTTTCACTGGATTGCATGACTTGACAACAAAGTTCCTGGGTAATTTACTAGTTCATCAATGGCAATCCGTGATATTAACCAAACTCCAAGTTGAATAGCGGATCACCGCATACCACCTTCATTGAGTACAAAGTCGATTAATGTTCACCCTTTATAGGTATCCATACTAAACATTACAGTATAAAATTGCAATAATTTCAACAGAAATTAAAAAAGTATAGGGTGGCTTCTTGTTTTCACTGGATTGCAAGACTTAACAACAAAGTTTTTGGGTAATTTACGAGCTTGCCCACCGCAATCCATGATATTAGTCCAACTCCATGTTGAATAGCGGATCACCGTATACTACTTTTATTGAGTAAAATGTCCCTTTACAGGTATCCATATGTTCAAGAAATAAAAACTGATAAAATGAATAAAATATATTAAATGTTGTAATAATAACAGAGAGTACAAGCTCTCTCTTCTGTGGTCTTTACACAGAAAAGATGGGATGTGGCAGTTTTGCACTGATCATAGTGCACATAATTGGAGCCATTTTTTATGCCTATGGCATACCAATATTTTATAAATTAGATTTACGTTCAGCATAATATCAAACATATGCAAGAAGAAGATGGGTTTAAAACAGCCTTTTATACAGATGAACATCATGAGTTTGTCACTGTGCCTTCTAGATTGATAAATGCGCCAGCTACATTTCAATGCTTGATGACAGGTAACCTATATCCTTATTTGCAACATTTTCCGGAGCATTTTTTGACAATATTTTGGTCCACAGCTTAACAATAGAGGACCACACCACTCGTGTTCACATGGTATTGAATGCTCTCAAAGACCAAGTGTTGTTTACTGAATCATCCAAATGTGTTTTTGTTCGAGTAAATCAACTGATTGAGCCACATTATTTCAACAAAAGGTGTGACAGTAGATCCAACCAGAATAGAGGTTGTGCACGCATGACAGATGCCTAAATCAATTAAATAAAACCAAAGTTTCCTAGAACGCATGAGATATTAATGTAAATTGTCTATCATTTTGCAAGCATTAAGTAAGGACAAAGCTTTCTTAGTAGGTGATAAATTCACATTGACAATAAAGGCACAAGTGGCATTCTAGGCTTTAAAGATAACCATGACTTCATTATTGGCATCTATGAACTTTTCTTTATCATTCACAATTGGAAAGGGATGCCTTTGGCATTGCTATAGGAATACTTATGTTACAATATTCTCACTCATTAGCCTATTTTGGTAAAAAAGTTATCACTATTTATGCAAGAAATATTCAGCATATACCGAGGAAATTAATGATATTATAGAAACAATGATTGTTAGTGACAGCTTACAAGGGAATAAATTTATCATTAATACGAAGACCGATGTATTGAGGGGTTGATGCAACAGGAAAACCAACCAATGTTATTATTATTAGAAGTGTTATTATCATTATTAGTATTATTAAGTTTTCATTACAACATTGAATGCAATACATGTGCTCCTAACAAAGTCTCAAATGCATTATCAAGAAAGAATACCACAAAAAAAATACACAACTAATCAAATTGAGGAACTTGTACCAGAACAAGGCAATCGATTAATGTCACACAGAACAAACTACTTTGATAAATCAAATCTGGCTGCAAGAAACAACAATGGTGAAAGAACAATAACAATTATACCTTGCAAAAGAAAGGGAACAAGATGATTTAACTGATCAAGTATACAAAACGGACTAGTATATTTTAAACATCGAATTTCTGAGCTTCATCGCAGCCCCACTGGGAAGCAACAAAGAATATGCAGAAAGCATGGATAACAGCCTAATTCTAT